TGAACAGCGTCGTCGCGTGGCGGCAGAATTGTGGGAACAGGTTTATGTTTGAATTGGGTTTTATGTTTTTTTCAGATAATTTGTTTGTGGTTGGCCCTATTAAGATGTATATTTTTCATTTTTATCCCGTTTGCTTCTTTATGTATATGTTTTTTGCCATGGGATTTATGTTTTTGTGAGTTCATGACTTTTATGGCTTTATCTTTGCTATGTTTTTATGTCTTTGCTTTTTTTTTTTTTTTGGAATGCGTTTTATTATTATTATTATTATTATTATTATTATTATTATTATTATTATTATTGTTATTATTGTTATTATTATTGTTATTATTGTTATTATTATTATATTTATATTCGGATGTTTTTATTGCTGATGTATCTTTGTTCTTTGTTTTTTTTCGGTCGTTTCATAATTATGCCTTCTGTTTTGGGTGTATGTTCTTTTTTTTTGTATATGTGTGCTGTTCTTGTGTTTGTTCCTTTTTCCACTATGTATATATATGTGTGTGCCTGTGTGATTTATTCAACTGTGCTGTGCGTGCTTTTAACTTGGCTTTTTTTTTTTGAGTGATTTTGCTCTATTCGTTATGATACAGTCTGCTTTTTGCTCCGTAAAGGAATGTAAGAGCGCAAAGGGAGGTGCGGCTGTCTTAATTGTTGGGAGCTGGTGGCAGGCCACGTGATGACCGCGGCAACCCTCTCACGCAGCGGGAGTGACATTGTACTTCGTGGGTCACGCACCATCTTTAGACTTTGTTGTTGGGCTTGCGTTGCTGGCTGATCGTTTTTGGTGTGATCGCGCCACGGCGGTAGTTTGGGACGGGCGTCGGACGGCGTGAGTGTGTCGGGAGAGGTGGGGCGCTTCTGGGCTTTGCGTGGACGCCGTGGCCACTGACACACTTGGGTGGATGGGGCAGTGGCATTACTTCCCTCGTTGAGGAAGACACACACACACACACACATGGTGCGCATTCCTTGGACGCGAGGCAGCCGTTGCGGGTCGACGTGAGGGGGAGGGCTGTTGATATGTTTTTGGTAAGCTGCGAGTAGGTGCGAGGGTGAGAAACGGCCTTTTGCGTAACTGTGGGGGATATCACAACTGCGATGTTGGTGGAAGGCGAATTGAAGTGCCCTGCATATTTGGGTGGGATATTGACATTGGAGTAGAGTGGTGGAGTGAGAATTCCATTTTATTTATCGATTTATTTATTTGTGTGTTTGATGCGCCTCTCTTCTTTTTTCTCTTTCTCTGCGGTCGTGTGCGGTTGGCTTCGTTACGGGTACAAGTGTATTTTTTTTGTTTGTTTGTTTCTTCTTGTGTCTTAGTTTTTTTTTTTTTTAGGAGGCGTTACTGATTGTGGGATGTGTTTCTGGGGCGAGGCAATGGGGCCGTTTGTGCTTCTATTTGTGTACGGCACTCTTCAACGCGGAGAGAACAATTACGCGTGGTGGATGGCGGACCCAAAACACGCCACTTTTGTGGCGACAGCACGCACTGTGAAACGGTATCCGCTGTTTGTGAAACTTTTGCCTGGTTCCGACGGGTGCTCGCCCTGCCTACTCAACCAACCAGCTGCGGGAGATGTTGGCGATGTTAGCAACTGCAATGAGCGGAACAATGATGCTGGCGGTGTGACGCCTCAGTTTGTGGTGGGGGAGTTGTTTCTGGTGACACCAACATTGAAGAGCTGCCTTGACGTCATTGAGGATGTCGAGGAGGGCGTGTACACCGTCGGCGAGATCGATGTTCTCCCCCTGGACAACGAGCAGGTGGTGGAGAGGACACTTCATGTGGGCAAGGGGGAGGCGGTGAGGGCGCTCGTGTACTTTCGGACGAAGAACTACCCGCCTGACTGGAACTGCCCAAGTGCGGCGAACAGCACATGTCTCATGCAGCGTTTTTCAGCGATGGAGTGCCTACGTCTGTACGGCTCGCGTTTTGCCGGCTTTCCCGCCCACTTGCGTTACGCAGCGGAATTACGAGACGGCCTTCAAAGACATACCAGATGGCCGTTTGATGATGTGTGCGGGGTGCCTCTCCGTCCTAAACCCATCGTGCTTTTTATTATTGACGGCGTGGGTGACGCCACTTATTCAGAGCTTGGTCATCGCACACCGCTTGAGGTGGTTGCCGGTGTGCCTCCGCGGAGGTTTGAGGGTGAAGCCACGGCAAAATCACAATGCACTGCGGATCGGTATGCTTCTTCTGCCATGAATTTGGTTACGAAAAACGGGGTAAGTGGATTAATGGATGTTTTTGAATCGGGGGTGAGTTGTGGGAGCGACACGGCACACCTTGCTCTCCTTGGGTATCCGCCGAAGCAGTACTACAGGGGGCGTGGGGCATACGAGGCTCTCGGAGCGGGCTTGGCATTGGATGATGCCGATATCGCCTTTAAGAGCAACTTTTCCGTCCTTAATGAGTCCACGGGGATCGTCACGCACCGCCGCTGTGACCGCGACTTCACTCAGGAAGGTCCGGTTTTATGCGCGCACATTGACGGGACGGTGATTGCAGGCGATGATGCGGGTCTATTCGAGTCGGTACACACACTGAGAGCCCAGTACGCCACGGAGCACCGTTGCGGCATCGCCATCACCGGGAAGGGGCTCTCATGCTTCATCACAGGCACGGATCCACTGGCCGACAATCGTCCACTGCTGCACTGCAGGCCCACTGTACCGCCCGAACACGCGGAGTACGAGGCAGCGCTCTACACGAGCCGCGTGGTGAACGCGGCATCGAGATGCATTACGGAGCTGCTTCGTCACCACCCGATCAATGAGGCCCGGCGGAGGGAAGGGAAGGAGGCTGCCAACGTGGTTCTTCTGCGAGGGGCTGCGGACAAGGGATGGGTACCACCATTTGCCGTGCGTCACGGCCTTTTTGGCTTTATTGTTGCCCCCACGTGCATTATTAAGGGCTTGGGAATTTGTTGTGGTCTGAAATCCGTGGGCGCTGCTGGAGCAACGGGCGATTACCAAACAAACGTCAACGCAAAGGTGGACGCTGCTCTAAGTGAACTCGGTCTTGCTGGTGCTGTGGATGGGGCCACGAGGGAAGAAGGGATGGTCCGCAGCGTGTTTGCTGTCATTCATGTCAAGGGTGTCGACGACGCCGGCCACGACAGGAGTCTTGAGAAGAAACTCATGATGCTTCAGCGATGTGGGGAGGCCCTCCAGAGGCTGTGGACAGCCCTTCCAGACGGCAGCACGGTGGCAGTACTCTCGGATCATTCCACACCCGTTTCTATCGGTGATCACAGCTGCGAGCCGGTTCCTGTATCCGTGGCGACGAAGGGGTGCGGTTTTCATGATGATGTGGAACATTATAGCGAGGTGGAGTGTGGATATGGGGCACTTGGACGGTTTCGTGGTGAGGAGCTGCTCGGCATTGTGAAGCGTGCCCATTACTGGTACCACTACCGTGCACCGCGCGAGAGTTCATTGACGTCAGAGGGGTAATACTGAGGGAGCGGCACGCGGGGATGAAGCGGACCCTAATGCCACGGAGAGGAGGTGTATCATCTCTCTCTTTTACACTCACTCTGTTTGTGCGTGTGTGTTAATCTTTTATGTTTACATTTTGTGTAATTTTGTTTGCGGAGGGGTGGGGAAGGGGGAGACAAGCGAATGAGTTTGGGCGATGATTGTTTCACTCTGTTTCTCTTTCTCCTTCCGCTTCATCTCAGCCCCTACTCGGTGTATATAGATAGATAGACAGATATACACACAAAAACACACAGGCACACAGCCACAGGCATAGGCACACACGAGGGGATAAAAGAAAGGGGGACGCAGCAGCAGCAGCAGACAGAAGCGAGAGAGTGAGTGGCGCGTGGGGGGGAGGAGAACGAAAGGAAAAAATCAAAAAAAAAAATCAAAATAAAACAACAAAACAGAAGAATTTTCTCCATCTCTCTCCCCCCACCAAAAATAAAACAATATATATATATATATCAAAGCAACAACAACAACAACAAGAAGAAAAAGAAAAACCGTTCACATTAAACAATACAAAAGAGAACGAAAAAAAAAAAAAAGGCAGGCACAACTTTTTTTAAAAAAATTTTTAGGGGCGTACGGGAGGAGGAACCAAACGGACGGCTTCTACTTTGCACCAGCAGCTTTTTCGTCATCTTTTCTTCTTTAATAGTGCCGTTGTTGCTATTGTTGTGCCTACTGTATTATTATTATTATTTGTTTAGAGAACACTGACAACAAAACAATATATATATATATATATATACATTTTTTTTTTCTTGCCTTGTGCCAGGCATTTGGCGGGGGAGATATCAATTCATTACTCTGCACCTGCGCGTGTGTGTATATATCCGCTCCCCTCCGCACTGCGGCGTCGACGAACATGGGCGAAGTGGATAAGAGCCCGAAGCGCATCGGCGTCCTTTCGGCGGACAATGGCAGCAGTTCTGACCTTCCCAACAAGTTCTATCATTGGCACTCGGGCTCGCAAACACTGCCGTTCATAAAGAATGAGACTGACATTGTCCAGTGGCTTCTGGAAGTGGATGCCGCGCGCGGCAAAGACACACCGAGGGATATGGAACAGGAGGAACTTGTCGCGTTCTTTAAGGGACGTTCTCAACAGGGGGGCACACCGATGGCGTCCGTTAGCACCACCGCCAACGCATCCATTCCGCCGCGTGGTGAAGAGGATGAGCCCCACTTGACGAGGTCCGTCGCACGACTGTCGCCGCACATCGCCTCCAGCGCAGCGTACCACGGCAAACCGATGCGGGAGGCCTTGTCAAGCGCGCCACAAACTGGGAGGTCATCTTTGCCATGTGGTACCTCTGCGTCACGGTTCAGCGGCGGTGGTGTAATGATGAAGACAGCAACGGCAGCGGGGATCACAGAGGGCCTTGGTGGTTACTCTCCCGGTTTTGTACCAAAGCAGCAAAAACAACACCATCAGCAGCAATCGCCACTGGTATTGGCCGCATCACTTGGGCGTGGCTTTGTACATCATTTGGTTACTGGTAACAGTAGCAGCTGCAGCGTGCCGGATCTCTCACTGCCACCCTCACTCGGCACAGGAGCCCCCGTGACTTTCTGTGGGACCCCAGTGAAGAGAACAGTAAACGGTGAAACCACCAGCACTACCGCAGTTCTCTTGGAAACGACATGTGGTGGGAGTGACCAGACAACGCCGCTTCGCCAACGCATCCTTCCAGTGGCTGACCGCATTAGACAACCGCCTTCCGCTCCGCACCATGACCGACGTCGGAGGGATATGGGCCTCACATTATGTTGCAATGGCGTCACAAACACCAAAAGCAGGTCCCTGCAGCAATTGCGGCTTAATAACCCGCCGAAGTTGTGTCCTCCCTATGCCCCACGACTGCTCGCACTCGTAACGGAGTGCCCAACCACCAACACCACGACAGGTGATGCCACTGGTCCCGCTCAACATCTGAACTCACTGCTGCCTGGACGCAGGGGGGTGGGGGTCTTGTCGAAGGAGACAACTGCCACGCAAGGACGATGAGGAGCAGCTGGTGAATGCAGGCCATAGATCATTCAGCTTTTTCCAGCTGCCTGGCGGCTTTCTTAATAGAGTGTCTCACCATTTTCAATATATATATACGTATATATGTATTATATTTTTGTTTTTTTGTTTTGGGTTTTTTTCTTTTTCCATATTTTTACTTTTTATTTCTCTTTTTGATTGCAAATTTTTTGACGCATTTTTTTCTCTCTCATTTTCTGTGTGTGTGTGTGCGTGTTTGTGTACCGTTACTGCCAAGCCGTGACTGTTGGGCGTGGGCTCTTTTGTAAACTTTTACCACCACTCTTGTCTTTTACTCGTGTACTGTTCACGCCACGTTTGTTTTATTTTTCTTTGTGCGGTAGTGTCTCTGCGGACTTTCTGCTTCTTTTGTCGCTCCCCCATTACGGTGCGTGTGTCAACGAGGGAGAGAGGGTGGGATCTGCACGCGCAGAAGTACACGTACGCGTAGCGACGTTGCTTAGAGCACGTGCGTACATGTTAACATGTGCATCCCCCTTTCAGTGATTTCCACCACTTTGCGTTGCGTTGATACCGCAGTTGAGAGGAACAGGGGGGAGACGATGTGCGGCGAGACATGAGCCCTCCACCCTTCACCCCATCATTCGGAGACAACGTAGCAATGAAAAGGAGAATCAATTCTTTTTTTTTTTTTCTTTCTTTTTTCTTCTTTCTTTCTTCTACTGAAATCCAGTGCGTGCAAACTATTATCTCCCCGTCTCCCTTTTTTTCCCCTGTTTATTTTTTTATTTTTACATGTGTATGTATGCCTCCACACATGCTCTCATACAATATTTTGTGGGAATGCATGTATGTGTGTATCGACCCATCCATCCATCCATCTATCTATCTGTATATCTGCCCGTATGTCAGTCACACACACACACACACACACACACACACACACGCATGTATGTATGTATGTGTTTATATATACGCGTCTTTTTTTTTTTTTCTTTTTTGTATATATTTTTTCCTTTTTTTTTTTTGTTTTTTTCAGGTTTGTATGTTTATTTATTGATTAGTTTTTGTATTTATTATTTATTATTTATTTATTATTTATTTAGTCGTGGTAATATTCTCTTAGTCGTATTATTATTACTTAATTTACTTATAATATAATATAAAATGGGGAACACGAGGGATCTGTCTATCTGTCTGTCTATCCATTTAATTTAGTTTAGTTTAAATGTATGTATTTATTTATGCAAAGTCTGCCATGGTTGTGTTGTCCGAGGAGAAATGTGGCACAGACCGACCGACCGACACATGCTTCTTACCAGCAATGAAAGGGGGACTGCAGTGGAGGGGAGGGGGAGGCAAGAAAGAAAGAAAGAAAAAAAAAAAAGGATGTTATTTATTTTTATTTTGTTTTGAGTTTTGTTTCATTCACAAATTTCTTGTGCGTTTTTTTCATTGAGCGCATGTTTTTTTTTTTTTTTTTTGTTTCGTTCTTTTCACATCTTTTGTTTTCATTTCTGCTCACATTTATATAAAACACACGAGGTCTTTTTTTCTTTTTCCCCCCCCCCCCCCCTTTCATGTGTGCCGAGGAGGGGAGCAGCAGCAGGAGGGGAAAATAAAAATAAAAATAATAAAAAAAAGAATGGGGGGATTAGCGCTTCTCCTTTTTTTTTTTTTTTTTTTTTTTTGGTTGTGGTTTACTTTTACGTGGCGCAGTGGACTTCCGCCCCGCTGCCCTCCCTCTTTTTTGGACGGGCGTCGTGGTGTGTCTGCTCCGCGGACCCGTCTGTGTGCGTGCATTGAGGAGGCGGAGGGGCACACGACTGCAGTGGGCCGAGGAGGGGGCAAAAACAAAATAAAGAAAACGTCTCTTTCCTCCACTTTTGCTCCGTCGCCTCCAAGGCGCGAAGTGCGGTGGAAATGACGACGGCCCCGTGGAGGAAGGGAGAAAAAAAAAAGGAAACAAAACAAAAAGAACTCCACCGGCTGCTGCACGTCCTTCATAACTTGTGCCACGGCGTTATTTTAAATCTCAGCCTGTTTGGATGCACCTCCCTTTCTCTCTCTCTGTCTGTCTCTGTCTGTCTCTGTGTGTCTCTGTGTGTCATGTGCACTCACGGTGCGTGATGTTTTTTTTTCCCTCTCCCCCTTCCTCTTCATCTCTTTCTGAACCACGCATGATGCCCGCAGGGGATATATATAAATACAGTTGCCGTGCAGCAAGGAAACCCACAGCGAAGCCGAGAAAGCGGAGCGAGAGGACAAAGAGAAGGAAGAACAGAGCACAGCATAGAAGAAGAGGAGGAAAAGAAGAACAACAACTACAACACACAAAAAAGAAAGGAAAAATAAAATAAAAAGACATATATTTTTTCTTTACTGGAAGAGAAATTTACTTTTCGCCCGCCTTATTACCCACCGTTTTTTTTTTTCTCTCTCCCTCCCGCCGCATTTTTTACGGGCGTCTTGTTGGACGGAAATCGAGCAAAACTGGCCAACCACCACAAGGCATCCTCCCGGGAAGGATCAACATCCCCGCCGCCTCCGCCGCAGAAGCAACCGCAATTGTGTAAGGGACATGTAAGCGGCAGCACAGGAAATGCTGAGGACTCTGACACCGGCGAAGAAGCCAGCGGAGACAGCAGCAGTTGTAGTGGTAGTAGTAGCAGTATTAGCAGCGGTTGTAGTTGTAGCAGTTGTAGGAATAAAACCAGCGACAATATTATTAGCAGGGTAAACCCGCGACCGAAATTAAACACGAAGCAGAAGAACACCAGCCATGGCGGCCACCCTCTTTGCCAAGAGGAGTTGGCTCGCACGACGGCGGCTCTCATGGGGTTGTGCGTCAAGCCTCCTCTTGCCATGGAGGGGCACCCGAGCAACAGCGGGGATGACAACAGCAACGGTGCGGAAAGGCAAAGCAAGGTTTGCCCGTCCATTCACGCGCAGCAACAACAGTCAGCTTCAGAGTCGCCAAACACTTTGTTCTCCAATTCCAGCGTCATGGATAACGCATCGTCATTATCGTCTGCCGCAATCCCACCAGCACCACCCCCAACCACCGCCACCTCTTCATTTTACCCGGAGCAGGTTGCCTTTCTTACTTCGGTGGGTGAAATGGCAAAGCGACTGGCACTCCAACGCAAGCCCACGCACCGTGGCGAAGGTCATGGCAACGCACACCACGGAATTGACATGGATTTGCCTTTTCTGCGCCAAGGAGAAGCACCGCTTTCTGTAAAGACATTGGTGCGGGGCGAGGGACAGCGGGTCCGGCTGCGTCTTGCCCTGGAATCTCAGCTGCATCAACAGAATCAAGATTCACAAAATAAGAATTGCGGAAACACGGCCGCCAAACAAAAGGGAGATTCTTTAAAAGATAATGGGGATGCTGGAAGGAGCTTGAGCGCGGGCCGCCGAGCGGCGGGAGTCCAATACAATCACCCTGCCAGCCTATGTACAATTCTTTCTTGTTTTGCTCCGCTGAAAGCATCGTACTGGCAGGATGATCGTCTTGTGGAGCCCTATCTTGGGGAATGCTACGACCCAGACCCCCAGCGTCGTCGCGGCAATAGGAGCGATGAAAATACCGTAATTGAGAGAGGGGAAGACGGCGGCGCGGGCGGCGAAGAGTTGGATGATGACAGCTGCTCTGTTGACATAAATGACAAGACGGATAGCCATTCCGACTGTGAATCGCATGATGGATCCGATCGCCTGCGGCAGAGGCGGGGCCACAGTGAAAAGGCAATGCGATCGTACGGCAAGATGCTCACTCACAACCGCTGCAGGAATGACCCGGTCTTTCATGATGCCTTTTTTCTGGACACAGGCAACATCACAGGCGGAGAACGGCGTAAGAAACTTATTGTTCTGCAGTCGTACCGTGCCTCTGTTATATCTTTTGTGGATATGAAAGTGCTGAAAAAGGATATTAACAATGACTTTTACATTCAGCATCCCGAGCTTGAAATACGTGAGATTAAACTCACCCACCTGCGAAAAATACGCGCTGCGCTGCTTAACTTTGCTCTCGAGGATAATTCCCCTATAGAGGTGGTTACCGTCGCGCATGCCAATTGGTACTTTGAGCGACTTGTCATGCGGGGAATGGTTGGCAAGCGGAACTGCGGACTCGCTGTCGCCGCGTGTATTCTACTCGCCGTGAAGTTCATTGAGACAGGCGACATTCACAAGAAGATTCAATACGTCAAGACACGCTTCCGACAAGACGAGGCATTCGCCAGCCTGACGTGGCAGAAGGTTCAGGAATGGGAGTTCCGTGCGTATGTTGGGCTGGAATTCACGCTGATGCCGGAGAACGGCAATCAGGTCGTCGAGGCACACTTGGAGCGACTGTTGGGCCAAATAAACCTCACATCGCAGGAGTACTACAGCAAGAAGTTTGCACTTCCATAGAAAGGAGTGTTTATTATTTGTGTACACATGCCATGTAATAAAACGCCGTGTGTCTCTCCCTCCCTCTCTCTCTCTCTCTCCATATATATATATATATACATATATTTCATGTGTATTGAAAACTATGCCTCTGCTTGCGGGGGGAGCGGAAGCCGACATTCATTTTACTTTTTTTCTCCTGCGTGTGTGTGTGTGTGTGTGTGCGTGGCAATGGAGAGGCAAAAGAATGATGGTTCCAAACAGGGCCTTCACGGCACCCCGACGCCAATGCGTCTGCCCCCCTTCCCTCCCACACGTCCCTTCACGCACCGCAATGAGACCCAAAAGAGGCGAATAACGGCGAAAGGCCAAAAAACAAAAAAAAAAAAAAAGGAAACAGAAGGGAAGCGAAAAGGAAAATAATATAAAAATAAATATTTATATAACGAAAACGAAAAGGTATGAAGTCGAAAGTCAAGGGAGAAAGAGAAAGAGAAAGAGTGGAATAAATATTACAAAGCAGAACAGTACTACACGAAAAGAGACGCGTATTTACTCTCATCACTTTATTTTCTGGCACTGCATGCAGGGAGGAGAACACACACACACACACACATACACACACACATATATATATATAAATACAAATACAAATAAATATGTGTGTATGCACACTTAAGAACGAGCAGGAACAGAAAAGACGATTGTATGGAAAAAAAGAAAAAAAAAAAGAAAAAAAGAAGAAATAATAATAATAATAATGAAAATTGAACAGGCAACGAGAGAAATCCAATACAACGCGTGTGTAGTCCAGTTATTATCCTTACATATTTTTACACCTAAATATATATATATGTATGTATGTATATATATATGCTCCTCTGTGTTCTTGGGTGTGTGCATGTGTGACGCTGGCGTCTGTTCACATATTTATTATTTGCTTCTTTTTTTTTTTTTTTTTTTAAATTTTAAATTTTACATTTTTACTGTCGTGTCTCCACTCGTATGCGTGTCGCCGTATCATAAGTCAGCGAATGCCTGGAAAGAAGAGAGGGGAGGAGGAGGGGTGTGGTGGGGACGGCCGGGGACGGATAAAAAACAGTCGCAGGGGGAGGGAACAAAAAATTTTTCAACCACTGAGGGAGCCAAAAAACGGATTGTTTTTTTTTTTTGTGTCTTTCGTGGGGGCGAGGCGGCGTTGTTCATCCGGTCCGGTGGGGACAACAACAAAGCAAAGAAACAACAAAAGAAGGGGGAGAAGGGGGCAAAGAAGACGGCAGTTTTGGAGAAATAAAAGGAGAAAAGGTTTGGGCATTCATGTTGTCATGTATGGCGCGGGGTGGTGGTGGGTTGGCGGACACATTTGCGCCCTTATGCCTCTTCACAACGCGGTGCTTTAATTCTTGGGTGTGTTTTGTTTTTTCTTTTTTCTCTTCTTTTTTTTTTCCTCTTCGCCTCCACCTTCTTTTCTTTCTTCGCATCAGTTTGTGTTTTGTCTTGCTTTGTGGTTGACACGAGTTCGTTGCGTCCATTGCCGCGGGTTTATATCTCGTAGCGGAGCTTTGCACAGTCCCCTCTTGGCACTGGAGCCCCCGCGTGGGCTTCCCCACGCAAAGGAGAGAATTTTTTTGTTTTTGTTTTGTTGTTGGTTGCGCGTTCTTCAACACCTTTTTTTTTTTTTACCCCCTTTTTTTATGATTGGGTGTGCGTGTGTTTGGCTTGCACGCTTCAGGTGTGAATATATATATATATATTCAGGGACTGAGTAAGGGTGGGGGGAAGGCGACGTGGCATGCGTATGAAAGCGAGCGGAAGCGATATGAAAGTTACCACCGCGGCTTTTCCACTGACATTTGCTTGCTGGGGACAGCGAGTCGGGTGTCTGTTGCAGCGAAGTTCCTCAGACTCTGCCGCTGTTGCCGCTGCCGCCACAGATTTGTACGAAAAGTATATCGTCGCCCGCTACACGGAGCCACAGCGGCACTACCACACGATGACGCACTTGGAGGAGATGCTGGGCTGCCTTGCACGGTTTCAGTCCGAGGCTCCAGTGGCGCATCGTCTGCCTGCTGAGGGCGCACGACGACTTGTTGTGGAGTTGGCAATTTTCTTTCACGACGCGGTCTACGACCCTAGGCGCAGCGACAATGAGGAACGCAGCGCGGCGTGGTTTCAATCCTTCTGGGGTGAAGTCCGCCGATGTGCGACACTACACACGACGGCGCTGGATGACGGTGAGACGAGGGGGCGTGTTGGACCGCTGCTTTGGGATGACCTCGACGCTGCACGAGGCGTAGAGGAAGAGGTGGTGAATTTTATTCTTCAGACGAAGCACCACATGGCGGTGGAGCCGTGCTACATGCACCGGGCGTCGCAGTCTGGCGGCACGGACGACGCCCCGCAGCCAACGCCGCCGCCGCCTCCTCTTCATATATTTCTTGATCTTGATCTTGCCATTTTGGGCAGTGCGGCTGAGCGTTACCGGAGATACGCGCTTGACATTCGGCGGGAGTATAGCTGGCACAGCGAGACAGACTTTTGCCGCGGTCGGGCTGCCTTTCTGCGAGGTTTTTTGAATCACCCACAGTGGTACAAGACAAAGTTTTTCTTTGACGCCTTGGAGTCGTCTGCGAGGGCGAATGTTGAGGCTGAGGTTGCGGCGCTGGAGGCACGGCTGGAGCATTTGGCCTCCGACGAGCGGCCCTGAGCTGCCGGGGTTGGATATCGAGTGCCAGAACGCCCGGGGACGGAGGGGGAGGGGTCTGCCGCCCCCTTTTGTGTGTGTTTCCATTGCTGGGAGCCTCTTTTTTTTTTCTTTTTCTTTTTTCGGTTGCTACTGCTGGGGGGCGCCGTGCGATCTTCTTTTCACTTCTCTTCTCGACACCGTGAATTGTCGCAAGCCATAAAACAGCTTCATTTAAGGCAACGCGATAACAACAACAACAACAAAATTATAAGGAATTTTTTCTCCTGCTTAAAGCCCTACATAGCATCATGTCTGACTTCGACAAGTTTGTAAAGCTCCTTGGGCAGACCGACGGTCGAGACAAGATTTACAAGTTTGTTGGCGGTGTGTTGAAGGCTCTTGCCGCCCTCGATGCCGTTGAGTGCCGCAGGTCCGCATACAAGTCGGTTTCCAGCTCCATCACGGACGGTCGCTCCCTGATGCGCATGGCCAAATGGATGGGGGATATTCCTAAGATGCGCAGCGTTTTTGCGAAGTGCGCAGAGGGTGGCCGCATGGAGATGACGGCGTTGATTATGTTTCTGCGTGTGCTTGGCAACTTCCTCTACATCCTTGGTGACAACGTTGCTTTCCTCATGCGATACAAGCTGGTGCCTGGTCAGCCTAAGCGCGTCCAGTACCACAGCAAGGTGTCGCAGTTCTGGGGCTTCTTCTTCGCCGCTGTCTTGGATCTCCTTGCGCTCCGCACTGCGCTGCAGAAGCGTGCGAGTGACGCCGCGACGTCTTGCAAGGAGGCAAAGAGTGCCCTGATTAACCTGACGAAGGATGCCTCAGATGTGTTGGTTACAATGGCGGCTGTCGGCTACATGAAGGGTGTGTGGCATCCAGGCCCAGTGACGGCTGGCGCTCTCACCGCCGTCTCTGGTGGTGTCGCGACGTACCTGAACTGGAAGAAGATTAAATAAATCAGCCGACAGGTCCATGTGTTTGTAAGACCGCGTGCATATGCGTGTGTGCCGGGGGGTAAATGAGGTGGCCTCACGTATTCTCCTCTCTTCTTCTTTTTTGTTATTATTTTTGTAAACGGAGGCCCCGCGTCTCATCCCATCGCCTCTCGCTTCGTCTATTCGTTGTGCGGCTGTGACAGGATGAACGAAGGAAGGAAAAAAGAAGAAAACAAACAAACGAGAAACAAACAAAAAAAACAAAAAAGAAAAGGAAAGAAAATACAGAAAAGAAGGATAACAACACAAGCGAAAGTGAAGGCGCGCGGGCTGAATGTGTGTGTGTGTGGGTGGGTGGGTGGGTGAGGAATAGGGGGCCGAGGGGTATTTTTATGGGGGTGGGGACTCCAACCGCTGCCGCGAAGTAAACAGAAGAGAAGAGAAGAGGAGAGCGGCATGTGAGATGAAAAAACAACGTAATTTTTTTTTCTTTTCCTTTTCCCCCCCTACCACCACCACCACCACCAAGTGATAAAAGTAAAATAAAAAGGGATGTTAAAAGAAGGGCGAAACTCAAAGGGTGATGAAAAAAGAAGAAAAAGGAAGGATGAAAAAAAAAAAAAAAAAAAAAAAAAGAAAAAAAAAAGAAAATGGGGGACAAAACGAAGGGGGTAAATTCGTCTGAATTATTTTAAAAAAGGAATAATGCGGGAATCAACAGTGCAGCACATAAACGGTATGTATACGTTGATGTAATCTCATGTATATCTTCCGTAAGGGGGGTTATTTATTTTTTCTGTTGTGTTCTTCTGCATATCAACTCCTTTTTTTGTGCTTGTCATCTACTCCTCCCTTAATTACTCATTTATTTATTTATTTATTTATTTTTTCTTTTGGATTGTGTTTCATTGTCTTCTCGCACCGAGAATCATATATAGGCATAAATATAAATAAATAAATAAATATCTACATATATATCTACATCCAGGCATATATCTCGGTATCATAACTTGGCTAGAAAACATGTCTGTGCCCTTCAAGTATCGCCAGCATATTCGTGACATACACGAGTCCTTCCACGATGGAAAGCCCATCTCCGAGGAGGAACTGATGAGCGTCATGGACATCATTGCGTCAGCTGAGCATCAGGCTCTTATCGACCAGTATCGGGCCAAGTGCCCGCTGAACTCAAACAGTTTTCTCTCCCTCATGTATGAACTACAGAAGGCCTCAAAAATCTCGTACGACGATCTGGTGTGGAATTACATCCGGGGGGCTCTCAAGAGGGGTGTTTTCAACGGTGAGGACCGCACGGACCTAAAAACCCTCCGCTCAACGCTCGATCCCTTGATGCGTGCGGTACGCCTGGACGTACCGAACCTCTACAAGGCACACGCCCCTCCCGATGGTGAGGGCAAGATCACCGTTGACCAGCTCTGTGATGTATTCCGTGCCATGTACCCCGCAAACCAAATTGTCTACCTGGAGATGTACAAGTGGTCACGAACGAAAAAAGTGACGAAGGGCCGAGGAAGCATCACTGAACTCGCCAAGAATTTTGAAGTTATGACGCCCCCTCCCTTTGCGGTTTCCGCTCCACCGGCAGTACCTACGTCGCTGTCAGTATCCAAACCGCCACAGCCGAGGGAGGATACGCCAAGTGAAATGCTGAAGGGAACTACCAATGCGGCTGTCGTCGATGACTCCACGGAGACGGCCAGCACCCAGCAGAGGTCATTGCGGACACAAGAAAAGGAGTTCACCAAGGAGCCACAGGAGGAGTTAGAAAAGCTGTCGCAGTTACCTGAAGAGGGCCCAAATCTACCAGATCGAAGCGTGCCCACGGAAAAATGGAAGATTACCTCCGAGGCCGATGGAGAGGCGAAGAAACCAGCAGTTGAAATTCAGCTTCCCGACGTCGGTGAAACAAAACTGAGAGACTCAACAAACCCCAAAGTAGAGGAAAGTGCCGAGGCATCATCGATCAAAGAGACAGAAGCAAACATTCAACTCACCCCATCGTTATTTTCTGAAAAGAAGTTGGAAAATGGGACGGTCTCCCCCGAATCCCTGCCTGCCGCGACATTTCCATCCCCTCCTCTGGATCCCCATGATCAGCAGGAGCCACTAGAGGGGGAGAAAGACGCAGTCAAAAATTTTATAGCCTCAGAGAGGCCATCTGTTTCGGTCACTTCCCTTGGTTCCTTTCCGTATTGTGATCTTCCGCCAAACGTACAAGTGGAGCGGCGGCCCGGACTCAATTTTAATCCCTCCTATATTCGTGATATGGAGCCACCCGTTCGGAAGCAGAAATCCTCCTCTGATGGGGATAATAAGCCATCGCTACCACCGAGGCTTCGAGGGCATGAGGAACAGCCTGCATGGGAGCACGAGGAGGTGCTGCTGGATGCCATGTTGTCTCGTGTTGTTCCAGGAAAGCCGGTAGATTCTCAAGTGATGGAATATCTTAAAGAGCTCGCGAGACAAGAGGAGGAGCTTGAGTCAGCCCTGCGTGCTGAGATGGAAAACTTAACGTCCAACATGCTGGCCTGCGAGATTGTTGAGCAACGAATGATAATCCTGCGCGCTCAGAGACAGGCACAATGTTTTGATCGAATGGAATCACGACGGTGTAAGCTTCTGGAGGAGATGGAGAAGTACCTGTCAGGGTCGCGGAAAGCACATGGGCAGAATAAAGTTCTTCTTGCCGGTATTAAAGAGAGTGGCATGGTGTCGTGCAGGAAGGACGGCCATTCATCGAATCACGACGGCAACACCACCAATGCACGAGAGAAGCCTACAGATTTTGTGTCCATGTTCACCCCGCCGCCGCCACTGTTGTCGGCGGAGCGCCAACGTCGCACGTTGAAGCGGGAATTGCGACTGGGGGAGAAACTGCAGAGGATGCAAAGTAGATCCCCCCGGCCTGCGTCGATGCGGAGGGTTTCTCTACCGCAAGATCCACATTTTCAGGCCCAGCAGCTTCCTTCATGTATGGAACCGGAGTTCCTTCAGGGTAGCCCCACCTCGCACTCGTTTGGCAACACGTCACAGCGGGGTCGCTGGGCCAAGAAGACAACACCGCGACAGCCTGTTCCTGTTGTGCACAGCCGCCCTATTCAACAACAAAAGCAACAACACCTTTCACCACGACATTTTGGTGGGGAGGACTTCACTATTCTTGTGAATTCGGGCGCGCGGTCATCGCAGTCACCGCTGCCACGACAAACTCCAAACCGGGGAGTCCATCCACACCTCACAACAAGGATGGCGGCTGAAGTATTGACAAGTTCACAGTTGCAGCGGAAGATCGAGGAGCGCCTGGAAGCACGTTTTTCAAAGGCTTTTCAGGCCTATTAGCGTCTTTCTGAACTTTCATGAATGCACATCCCCCTCTCTCTCTCCCTCTGTGTGTATGTGCGTGTGTGGTCTTTTTTTTGTGTGTATTTTTTTTCCCAATTTTTTTTATACGTCGATGAATTTGACGCACTGTATGCCTTTTTTTTTTTTTTTTGGACATTTTCCTGTTCCCCCTTTTAGTTCTTGTTCTGTTCTTCGTTGTTGACACGCTCTCTTCCTTTACTCACTCGCCCGGGGCCACAATTTAGGGACACGTGGGATTGGTGGGCTGCACCGCGCTTCCCTCGCCCTACCGCACGGAGATTGAAACGAAAAAAGGAAGAAGAAGAAAAAAAAAGAGAAGAAATCTCTGAAAACGAAGACGTCAGGGCCGAGGGAGGGTGTGGGGAACATGCGAGCGAAGGAGTGCACGCCGAATGGGCGTCTGCTTCTCTAAGAAAGCTGCTGCCGTTAAGTTTTTTTCCTTTTCCTTTTCTTTTTTTTTTTTTGCCTTTTTTATGTATGGAAGTGTGCGCGGTGTGTCTGTCGATGCCCGGTACCTTCACAACGGCAAAAAACGAAGTCGATAAACGAAGCGACAGCAACAACAGCAGGGTGCGGTGCGAAAACGGGAACCGATGGAGAAGAAGAGCGACAGGAAGGCCGAGGAGTATCCGCGCCAGTCGTCGATTCTTGGAACGCCTTGTAGCGTGCGGGGGCCTGACGCCACGGTACGGCGAGGACAATTGCTGGAGGTTCGCTACCTATGGACACCGGCCTCTCTTCATGTCGACACTCACGCCCCGCTGTTTACACCGCCGCTATACGGTTTTGTGCGTCTGAAGGATTTGAATCACCGCCTGAGTGGGTGGTTCTCTCTGGAAGACATTGGGCTGAAGGAGGCCAAAGGCGGCGGCGGCGGTGGCAACGCAGCTGCGGGAACTGTTTCCCCGCCGCCATGCGGGTCTACCCGCATTCATGGCCCTATTTTAACTTCGGTGTATAGGGAGGTGACGCTGGGAATGATTCGAACACGCCGTGAGGAGAAGCTACTGGATTTTTTTGAAGAACGTCTTCTTCGTGACTGCCGCACACCGACAACAATTCGATACTTTGTGTACTTATGCAAGTTTGTTTTTGCCCCCTGGTATTATGCGCCCTACGGTATTTTTCATAGAGAGTATGATCCGTTGGCACCAATATCTATGGCCGAC